CTTCCTTCACCTTCATAATGCATCTGGACTAGAATAGACTCAGGAGTTCCTTCAGTCCATAATATTAATGGTGTGCCTTCTCTGCATTATCCCATTTGAACATCACAGCAAGATCACGGGGGAGATAGACATTTTATTCCCATTTTAAAGATGAGGCTCTTACAGTTTAAGTGATTTGCCAAAGATCATACAATAATTGGCAGAGCGTGCACTTAGCCTCCAACCTTCTGATTCTTTAATTCTATGCTTTTTCTGTAACATTTCACAGCTTCTCAGGGATCCCAGGAGGTCTGACTCAGGCAGATTAAATTATGGGATGTCTCAAGACTTCAGGTCTGGATGCCGGTCTAAGGTAGCAATGAGTTTGAGCTAGGTGAACTTACAGAGACTGTCCTGGCAATGATCTCTCACCTTTCTGGGGAGAACACAGCACCCCTGAGACCCAGGGAAGACCCACATCCTAGAGCTAGATTTGAAGTGCTCCAGTCTTCGGAGAAGCTGTCAATCAGCCAGTATTCTCACCAAAAACAAGCCCAGTGAATTTGTTTCGAAGGGTAGGAGTATTACATTTTACTAGCTCCTGTGTGTTTTGAGGGTTTGGACCAAAGGTGCAAGAATCCATGAAGATAGCTTCCATCCAAATCAATCTACTCAATGCATATTAAAGAATTCATTCACTCATGAGGCCAAACATGCTTGGGTTGGTACCATCTAGTCTCCATCCTTTTGAGACATAACATGGCTCTGTAACACTTAGCTTAAAGGAGCCTGTGCAAAATATAAGCCTGTGTCTCTCCTTTCCCACTCATATAATTTGTCTAGCCTGACCTCACAGAAGCCCCTTCCCAAGTTTAAAAAAGATGTCTCAATTCTACTGGCACACATCATATCCTCTGTATTTCCTGAAATTTATTTTAACAGAGGCAAGGGAAGGAGGACTCTCATTTACTGAATTGCAAATATGTACCCAGCACTAGGCTAGGCAACTTCAAGAACATCATTTCTAATTCTCATAACAGTCCTTTGAGGTGGTTATTTCACAGATGAGAGAAGAAAGGATAGGAAAAGTTAAATATCCCGAGGTCACAGACTGGAATTCCGAGTCGGACCTCAAACCTCAAATCCATGGTCTTTCCACCCATAAAATACTGAGAACCTAAAGATAAACTTGTCCCACTTGAGCTTTGGAGAAGGAGGGGGTCTTGTCTTCTTTAGAGAGAGGAAATCAACCTCCCCAACCCTTTCTTTCCAGCAATGCTGGAGGAGGTGGAAGAAGTTTTAAGAGCAGTAAGGTCTCAGGTGGAGTAGGGGTTAGCTTCCAGAGGGCAGGAAGCAGGTCTGAGGAGCTAGCTTTGTTCAGTGCCAAGCCCAGCAGAGGCGGAGCGAGCTGCTGGCAGTTGTCTTCCCAGCACATTGACACTGCAAGAGTCCTGCCCGGCCCGGCTTTCCCAGGTCAGGGAGCTGCCCTCATGCCCGGGACTCTTTGCCTCTGGGTAGCCTGAGATGCTGGGAGAGATAGCCCCGAAGCTCAGAAGGCTAGCGAGGAACAGAGTGGCAGACAGAGCCAAGAGAGGGGGACTGGGGGAGGGGGTTGTCTGATGAGAGGCTTTGGCTCAGTAAT